AAACAAAAATAAGACATACACAAAAAATACCACAACACTTCCACAAACATCTATAACATAACATGAGAACTATAACCCATATCACTATCACAAAAAAAATTTAATACACAGACACCCACATCTTATACATTTCAATCACAAATTTAAGACATGAGACATACACACCAAATCTAAGACATTCACCTCCAACTATGAACATACACATCTTAACTAAGACATACACCAAAAACCTATACTTGACATATTGCGGTATGAATATTCATACCGCATTTATGTTGCATATCACATTTCCTCATCCACATCATCCCTAAAACATCCTTCCTTATTCATTCCGTATATATCCTAGAGTTGTTTTAACCCCGACGGGCCCATCATGACATTAGGAGCCAGAGTGTAGTAGGTGGTGTTGGAGTATTGATGGTTGCTCTGGCTCCGAAGAATCCTGGAATCATCGCTTGTCTCTATAACCAACAATTTCAACCAGAACAACGGCTTCTATAACATAGATGAACCACTCGCCAAGAAACTTCTTCATCGCTATCCCACATAAGAACATAGAACACTGCAGAAGGTCTACTCACAACTTGTCCAATACCCCTGCCAAGCTACCCAAGACTCTATAACTCCACCCGGTAGATCATCAGATGCAGCATTCTCCACCTGACCTCAACATTCTGAACATGACTATAAGTACTCCCGTACCTTCCACCCCAGGTAGATCTGTGTGTGACTTGAAAAAGCCCACTGTGTGGGTGAAACGTTGTCAATAAAGGATCACATTATACTGCATATGTGTTTATATTTCCAGTGGCTGCTTTGAAGAGAGTGGGGAAGTAGCCGGATGCTCGTGATGCATTGAGTAGGTTGGTGAAGGCTGAGATGATAGAGTCAGGGAGGTGTTTTAGGATGATGTGGTTGATGCCAGAGGCTCCTGGGGCTTTTGGAGGGAGGCGCTGAATGAGAGTTTTTATGTCATAGGCTGTGATGAGGTGTCCAGTTCCTGAGTGGCAGTGATGAGTCAAGTTGTATATGTCTATCAGGTGTCGTTAGGTGTACGTGGTCAGTGTTCCATTGGTCTATTTGTTGTGTATGTGGCAGAGTGTCTGGTAATGGAGGGTGTGGGTGGAAAATATTCTCCCATATTTCTTTGAAGATGTTTGTTGCTGTTTTTGGGTCGGTGATGTTTCTGTTGTCGTGGGTGATGTGTTCGAATTTTTTGTTGTTGTTGTTTCCTCGGATTTTGTTGATGAAGTTCCAGAAAGTTTTGGGGTCTCTTATGCGTTGCTCGTTTGCCTGGTGTATGAGTCCAGCCCAGTGGGTGTTGTGGTCCTGCTCTAGGCTATGAAGTATGTTATTCCTGAGGTATGTGAGGTCCTGTCTTACCTGGTTGAATCTGTGTGTGTTGAGGCGAAAGCGGCCGGCTCGTAGGAAGTGACATATACCGTGGAGCACCAGACGGTTGTACTGAGGTGATAGTAAGAGTATAGTAAGCAAGTACTGGGAGAAAGGTGGCTAGAGTACAGGTAATGTGTGGTGCAGAGTTGAAGTGTTAGTGTGCAGCAGAAATTTATGCTTATAAGAGGATGGGTGTACGGAGTGCAAAAGAAGTGCCATTGAGAGACTGGATCAGGTTATTTTCAATAATTTTTACTAAATATAAGAAAAAAATTTGGTGTGAGATCTGAGGGGAATTACTAGATGGAGAGGTAGAGATACTGGGAAGATGGAAGGAATATTTTAAAGAGTTGTTGAATGTTGATGAAGAGGAAACATTGATATCAAGCATTTGGAAACTAGGTATAACATCTTGGAGGAATGAGGAAGAGCGAGATGTGAATGCGGGACAAGTATACAAAGCACTGCACAGAATGAAAGGGGAAGGGAACAGTTGGGACTGATGGGATCAAGACAGAAATGTTAAAGCAGTTAACGATATATTTTTTGGAGTTGCTGGTGTATTTGTTTAATGTATGAATAAAAGGGATGGTAAGGTACCTAGAGATTGGCAGAGAAAAGAGTGTAAGAATTATAGGGTAATGAGCCTGTTGAGTATACCAGGTGTAGTGTATGGTAGAGTTATTATTGAAGGAATCAAAGGTAAGATAGCGAGCAGGACAGCAATGGAACACAGAGGTTTTAAGAAGAGTAGGGGATATGTAGACCGAGTCTTTTTGTTGAACCTTATGAGTGAATAATTTTTAGATAAAGGTTTTACCTTTATCTAAAGGTTTTACCTTTATCTAAGAATTATCTGCTGTTATGGTTTTTGATCAGACATTTGATAGGATTAATAAGGAAACAATGGGACAGATGTAGCAAATATATGGAATAGATGGTAGATTATTAAAATTAATAAAGAGCATTTATGTGGATAGTGAGACTTAAATTTTCGTATGCATGATAGAGAGGGATTATTTTTCAGTAAAAGTTGGCCTTAGACAGGGATGTGTAATGTCAACATATTTATAGATGGAGTTGTAAAATATATGAACGCTAGGATGTTGGAGAGAGGTGTGTGATGAACTAACAAAACAAAAAAGCAATTAATCTAATAGAGAGCAGGCGTTGTCACAGTAGCCTTTTGCTGATGACACGGCTCCTCTTGAAGATTCTGAAGAGAAGCTGCAAAGATTGGTAGACAAATTTGGGAGGAAATTAAAAGTGAACACAGGAAAGAGCAAGGTTATGAGAGAAGCAAAAACATTGGGTATAAGACTGGAAGGAAGGAGTATGGAGAAAGTAAATGTTTTTAGATATTTGAGAGTGGACTTGTGAAAATATTTGGTTATGACAGATGAGGTGAATCTAAAAACTGATGAGGAGAAAAAGGTGGGGGTAGTGCATTAAGACATCTGTGGAGACAAAAAAGGGAATGTACTGCAGTATAATGACACTAACACTGTTGTATGGGTGTAGCTGATTGATTTTGAATATTGCAGAGAGAAAGAGGCTGGAGTCAGTGGAAATATCATATTTGAAGGCAATGTGCGATGTGAATATTATGCAGAGAATTCGCAGGATTGGAGATTAGGAGGTATGGGATTACCAAAAGTATTAGTTAAAGTGTGGAGAAGAGGCTGTTGAGGTGGTTTGGTTATATAGAAAGGTTGGAGCAAAGTAAGATAACTAGGAGGGTAGATAAATCTGGTTAAAGGAAAAGACAGGGAAGAGCAGTCCCACCAATGGTTGGTGGGACGCCCCACCATGCTCACACAGGCTTGTGTGAGCATGGTAGATACAAGTGAGTGCCGTGCTGTTGGAGTGTGAGCAAGGTAATACTTATTACCGGTCTTGAATCCTGAAGGTGGAAAACACAGTGCCTGAACTCTGAAGGAGGGGCTTGGGTGTTGCAGTTCAGGTTATCTGAAATGTGATGTCCATAAGTTTCTGGCAAGAGAGTGACTGAATGAATAAGGGAGAGGTTTCTTCTGTTTCGGTCACCCTTCCTTGATGGCTGTTTTGTTAATACATGTATATATATATATATATATATATATATATATATATATATATATATATATATATATATATATATATAATATATATATATATATATATGTCATGCCGAATAGTTAAATCTTGCGATTTTGGCTTAAATAGCAACGCTCTTCTTGCCGAATAAGGCAAGTGAAAATTTGTGTATGCAATAATTTCTCAAAAACCATTCTGAACCAAACGAAAAATGTATTTCATTGTGTATTAAATTGTTTATTAAATTATTGTAAACTTATCTAAAATATAATTAGTTCTATTAGGCTAAATTAAATTGCGCTTGTTATAATAAGGTTAGGTAAGTATTCTAAGGTACTTTCGTTACAAAATTATTAATGTGTACATTAACATAAATGAAAAAAATGTGTCTTTAAACGTATACGAGAAAATTTTAGATAGGATTTAATTTTAAATGAGTTCTTGTTAATTGACCAGTTTTACCTATTCGGCACGACGTATATATATATATATATATATATATATATATATATATATATATATATATGTCGTGCCGAATAGGCAGAACTTGCGATCTTGGCTTAAATAGCAACGCTCATCTTGCCATATAGAACAAGTGAAAATTTGTGTATGCAATAATTTCGCCAAAATCATTCTGAACCTAACGAAAAAAAATATATTTGATTGTGTTTGTTTAGTACTAAATTACTGTAAACGTATTTAAAATATATTTAGTTGGGTTAGGCTAAAATAAATTGCTCTTGTTATAATAAGGTTAGGTAAGTTTTCTAAGGTTCTTGTGGTGCAAAATTAAAAAATTTTACATTAACATTAATGAAAAAAATATATCTTTAAACGTATAAGAGAAAATTTCAGAAAGGACTTCATTTTAAATGAGTTCTTGCTAATTGACCAGTTTTACATATTCGGCACGACATATATATATATATATATATATATATATATATATATATATATATATATATATATATATATATATATATATATATATATATATATATATATATATATATATATATGCACCACGCTGAAACAAACGGAGGTATATATACCGAAAGATCGCATTCAGCAGCAGGATTCAAAATCATGTGTGGGAAGAGGCATAGCTCCCCAAGTGACGCCTTAGAACAGTCATCCACAAGAAGCTGGAGATACGAATCTTGCTGACTACATATTTCTTTGTATATAACTCCGCTTGTTTCTGTGTGGTGCTTTGATATAACATCGCTCGTGTATTCGGTTTAAACACAAGTAAAAATTAAATTCAAACTATTTTTTGGCACAGTACTGCAAGATGAAATAGAGTAAAGAAAGACGAAGTGTGAAGTTCGTCCTTCCTAGGATGGCTGGTTATCTGCTGCCTGGGGAACCGAAGCATAAACTTTAATAATAAAGCTGTATGTAACCACATGTAGCATACACTTGTTTTATTTAAGTAATTATATCTAATTCTTCTCGTTAGTAACCGATAGACTTTTGAAACCCAGAGCGTATTCCAATTTTTCAGTAATTGTGGATTTTTCTTTCAGGCTGCGGTGCATCCAAAGTGTGGAAGGATGGTAGGCTTCTCTTCTGGTCCAGAGAATCCTCATGGTGTTTTACCTGTTCTTGATGGCAGCAGATGTGCACTTGGCATGTGGTTTACCCACGATGAAACCTTCAAAGAGTACGAACGTACATTAGCTGAGAAACTACTGAATAAACTAAATATTGATACATAATTTGATATCGTCGAAGTTAGTTGATATCAAAATGTACTTAATGACTACAGTATAAATGACCAGTTTATGGTGTTGGTGAATACTTTTCGTTTTTTTTTTCCTAATGCTTTTTATTTACTTGCCGTTCTTTGTTCCTCATTTCTTCTCTTGCATCTTATTTTCATCAATAAGATGAACTTTACTGATCAAGTTTTCTGGGGGTTGATCCTGATAAACCATTTACAGCAATCATAGCCAATTATTTCTCAGAATCATTCTTGAGTTCTCTGACATCTTTCTCCGAATTCCCCTTCAAACAGTCTTTTTTTCTCTTGATGAAGAATTAGACACATGTGCAACATCTGGGTATCTTTATTTGTAGACGTTTCGCCAGTGGTTTTATCAATACAATGCAAAAAATAATGTGAGTAATTATATACAAAAGATGAGGTAAATAGTCCCTCAGCCTCGGAGTTGGTGAAGAGGACCGACGTCTACCAGTAAATATACCCAGATGTTTGAACATGTGTCTAATTCTTCATGTTGTCGGTATTGTATACCATTTATGTACATTCTTTTGTCTTGCCTATATAAAGGTCACCTAGGCTGGAATAACCTATATTACTTGCTAAACCTATATGGGTCACACAGCGCTACTCGTAGAGATGTGCAGAAGTAGGAATGTGTAAAGGTTGGGAAAGGGAGGTCCTGTAGGGGTGGGGGTGAGGGTTACTGTTAGTGTAACTGTTAGTGTTAGTGTAGCTGTTGTTAGTGTTAGTGTAGCTGTTGTTAGTGTTAGTGTAGCTGTTGTTAGTGTTAGTGTAGCTGTTGTTAGTGTTAGTGTAGCTGGGGTTAGTGTTGGTGTAGCTGTTATTGGCGTAGTGTTAACGTAGCTGGTGTTAGTGTTAATGTTAGTGTAGCTGGTGTTAATATAGCTATAGTTAGTGTTAGTGTACCTGGGGTTAGTGTTAGTGTAGCCGGGGTTAATGTAGCGAGGGTTAGTGTTAATGTACCTGGGGTTAGTGGAAGAGTAAAATTTAAATTGTAGTTGGTGCAGTAAGAGAGTTTCTTTTAAAAAGAAGATAGGGAGAGTGTCTGTGTCAAAGGTGGTACTCTCAGTATGGTCAGTTAGAGTGAGTGTTTTAGGGCGGCGAAGATGTCGGAAATGAATTCTGCCTGTTTGCTGATAGGACAATCTCTTCAGCATGGTGGCCTGACAGGGCACCCCAACAATTGTTGCACACAGGTACTGTGTTTGTCCAGTTCGTAAGCATGTGAGTACAGTCTCCCAAAACCGACAGTGATGGGGAAGAAAATGGCCAGAATTCCAGTCGAGGTTTGATAGAAAACAATTTGTTGTGGTTCACCTCAGACCAAAGTTGTTGTAAGTGGTTGTGGGGGTGTTCAGAAAGCACTGAAAGGAATATCCCTGTGGAAAATTGAGAGGTCAGAGGGAGTTGACAGAAAGGCTGAGTCTTCTTATTCATTACCTTGAACATGTGCGAGTCCAACGACCCAGAAAAAATATGGCTTCTTTGTGTTTACTAGAAATGCAATATAAGATGAGGCCTGTAGATGAGCACTCTTATCTCAGCTGGTGAGGGGCTCTTGATCGTAAAAATTGTACTTGTTCTCCCCCTTTCTTGAATTGAACCTGTTTGCCTCCCATTCCCTATTCATTACATTACCCCCATGGGTTTAGCGGTTTCCTCATTAATATAACAATAATAGCCCAGTTCATCAAGGACTGTCAGTTTTTCACCCACCAATCAGATCTAATATTTCAGGCCAGAATATTAGCTCTCTGTTGGACCAGAGTGTTTTTATAGGAGTCAAGACAGACCTTATGAGACGCGTCTGCTAAATTAACAAGAGGAAACTAATTGGAATATACAAGTTGCTGTGCTTTTGGTACTTGTTTACATCAAGGAACATGTTAAAGTGGAAAAAAAGAAAGTTTGGTAAAGTCTATCAAATAAAAAAAAAATGTAAATTATGGAACATCTTGGTTTCTTTCTGGGATTTTTCTAAGCCGAGTTATGTGTGCGAGTGGAGCTAGCTGAGTTGCAGGCATTACTCACCAAATTGTACTCACTGAGATGTATTTGCGTGAGCTGAGTCTCAGTTCCTGGCCCCTTCTCTTAAGCTACATACAATCGTCGGCATAATTGGTTCCTGGCCTCGTGAACCCTATCATACTTACTCTTAAAACTGTGTATTAATTTTGCCTCTAGTATTTCATCATCTAGCTCATTTCATTTATTTACTATCCTGAGACTGAAAAAAGAGTATTTCCTAACATTCTTGTGGCTCATCTGTATCTTTAGTTTCCAACTTTCCATTTAAGGCATCTCATTCCTATGTCTCTCATTTCAAAATGTCTATCCATGTCTGCTCTGTCAAACTCCCTCAGCATCTTGTACGTCGCAATCCTGTCTCTCCTAATAATTCTTTCTTCTAAAGTGAGCCTTCACTTTATTTAGTCTCTCTTCATAACTCAGATTTTCTCAGCTCTTGGAATAGTCTTGTTGCAAACCTTTGGACCTTTAATATTTTTCGTACCTGATCAAGTGAGGTTCCATGCTGGCGCTGCATACTCATAATAGGCTTAACATATGTCGTGTACCGAATCTTAAGATTATTGTGGTTTCTGAGGGCAGTTCTGAGATTAGCTATCCTTTCATATGCTATAGATTTTGTTCGATTTAAATAAACCTCTGGCTATATGTTGAGTGTGCTATTCACTCCATGATCTTTCTCCTTGGGTAATATCTGTAGTTTCTATAAACTCCAATAACCACTTGCTTGAGTATTTTGGCAGTTTGTCCAGGTCCACATGTGGCTTGTCTCTATTCTCTTCAGTTTGTATTCTCATTAGTTTTACATCATCAATAAACTATGAAACATCTGAGTAAATGATGGGAACCCCGCTTAATACACTCTCCGAGCCTGAAATGTCTACCATTACTAACACTCTCTGTTTAACGTTCATTAGGTATTCCTTGGCCTACTGTATCTACGGAAAATAGCGCCTATGGCAAGTACTGAAATTGTGCCCCTGTCCAAACATCTGGCATCCATCTTTTAGATAACTTTACCATAAAATCAGCTCAAAAATACAAGTCATGCTCGTTAATCTTTTAATTAATAAACTATAGCACTACATGAAAACTGCACCTTCCTTGCTTTCACTGATGCAAATTAGTCTATGATGTACTCAAAGTCAGTTTTTTCTCTTTCTACATTCAGCAGAGCAAGATCACAGAGTCGGCCTTGACCCATGGAAGCTGTCATATACACAAATAACCCGCACATAGGAGAGAGGAGCTTACGACGACGTTTCGGTCCGAACTGAACCATTTACAAAGTCACACTAAGAAAAAGGAGAGACGAGGGATGTATACGAAAGTATTAGTTTTAACTTGCTGAATGATCTCTCACAGCTGGTGTTGGATACTGCGATGCTTAGCATTATCTGAACACCTATGCTCAGTGGCGCCTCCCTTCCAGTGGCTCCCAGGGCACATGCCATACCTGCCATACCTTAGGTACGCCGCTTCTGGTGGGGTACAGTCCAGGAATATGCAGTCAACCCATCCTTATATTTCTTGCTTAATTTCCGTTATTTTTTCCTTATTCCGTTAAGTTATTAATTTTACAAGAGGAAAATATTTTCTTGGGTAAAATATATAAGCAATCATCCTGATGTTTCACACAGAATTTGTTATTGTTTTCAACTCTCACTTCAGCTTTGCTTCAAATTCCGCCTCTAAACATTTTTTATCGTACGGTGGTCTTGCTCATACGGTGGTCTCGCTCATACGGTGGTCTTGCTCATACGGTGGTCTCGCTCATACGGTGGTCTCGCTCATACGGTGGTCTCGCTCATACGGTGGTCTCGCTCATACGGTGGTCTCGCTCATACGGTGGTCTCGCTCATACGGTGGTCTTGCTCATATGGTGGTCTTGCTCATACGGTGGTCTTGCTCATACGGTGGTCTCGCTCATGCGGTGGTCTCGCTCATATGGTGGTCTCGCTCATGCGGTGGTCTCGCTCATGCGGTGGTCTCGCTCATACGGTGGTCTTGCTCATATGGTGGTCTCGCTCATACGGTGGTCTTGCTCATACGGTGGTCTCGCTCATGCGGTGGTCTCGCTCATACGGTGGTCTTGCTCATATGGTGGTCTCGCTCATACGGTGGTCTTGCTCATACGGTGGTCTCGCTCATACGGTGGTCTTGCTCATACGGTGGTCTCGCTCATACGGTGGTCTTGCTCATATGGTGGTCTCGCTCATACGGTGGTCTTGCTCATACGGTGGTCTCGCTCATACGGTGGTCTTGCTCATACGGTGGTCTCGATCATACGGTGGTCTTGCTCATACGGTGGTCTCGCTCATACGGTGGTCTCGCTCATACGGTGGTCTTGCTCATATGGTGGTCTCGCTCATACGGTGGTCTCGCTCATACGGTGGTCTTGCTCATACGGTGGTCTTGCTCATACGGTGGTCTCGCTCATACGGTGGTCTTGCTCATATGGTGGTCTCGCTCATACGGTGGTCTTGCTCATACGGTGGTCTCGCTCATACGGTGGTCTTGCTCATATGGTGGTCTCGCTCATACGGTGGTCTCGCTCATACGGTGGTCTCGCTCATACGGTGGTCTCGCTCATACGGTGGTCTCGCTCATACGGTGGTCTTGCTCATACGGTGGTCTCGCTCATACGGTGGTCTCGCTCATACGGTGGTCTCGCTCATACGGTGGTCTCGCTCATACGGTGGTCTCGCTCATACGGTGGTCTCGCTCATACGGTGGTCTCGCTCATACGGTGGTCTTGCTCATACGGTGGTCTTGCTCATACGGTGGTCTTGCTCATATGGTGGTCTCGCTCATACGGTGGTCTCGCTCATACGGTGGTCTCGCTCATACGGTGGTCTCGCTCATACGGTGGTCTCGCTCATACGGTGGTCTCGCTCATACGGTGGTCTCGCTCATACGGTGGTCTCGCTCATACGGTGTTCTCGCCCATGAGTGTGTTTCCTAATCACTAAGTATGGCAGCTTAAATAGCAGTTGACGTGCACTAAAATATTATCGTAAATGTT